AAGGAGCTGGGGCTCTGCAGCTTGGAGGAGCTTGGGGGACCTCATTAATGTTTATAAATGTGGAAAGGGGGAGTGTTGGGAGGACGGAGCCAGGCTCTGCTCAGGGATGTCCAGTGATAGGACAAAGGGCAGTGGGTGCAAGGTGGAACATGGGAGGTTCCACAAAAACATGAGGTCACTTTCCCTGTGCGGGTGCCAGAGCCCTGGCCCAGGCTGCCCAGGGAGGGTGTGGAGTCTCCTGCTCTGGAGACTTTCCAACCCGCCTGGACGTGTTCCTGTGGGGCTGCCCTGGGTGACCCTGCTCTGGCAGGGGGTGGCACTGGGTGAGCTCCAGAGCTCCCTTCCAACCCCAACACCCTGTGATTCTGTGATACAAAGCTGTCTAGGACTGTTATTACTGGAATATGTTCTGCATTGAAGTAGGGTTTTTTATATCAACAAAGGAAATATGCATTCCATGAACAAAGTCTATACTTGAAAATTGCTTAAATCCAAGTAACTTGAGTTCAGGATTCCGTTTAGACATTAGTATTTTAATCTGTCATCTATTTCTGGAATAAGGCTCTGAGTGAACAGTTGTATGACATCCAAAATGACCCCAAGGGTTTCAGAACCGAGCATGTAATGAGTAAAGAAGTGTCTTAGCTGAAGGAGGCTGTAATCAGTCCGTGGTCCTGTTCGGGGGGAATATACCGAGGCGGTGGCTGTGGGTGGATGTGTTGCTGCTGTGGGTCCAAGAAAAAAGCTCTTGGGGGTCGGAACTGGCCTGCAAGCCACATCTGCTGTGTTTCTTATTCATTAATGTTCAAGAGCTAGTAAGGTAACGTGTTAAACTGTCTGTGGTATTACCGTCAACAATTCTGTTCGTAATCGGAGTTGTTTCTTAACCACAGAGCGCGTGTACGTGCACACTTCTCTGCTTTTGTCTCCGGAGTGTCTCACACCATATGGTGGGACAGTTGGGTTAGTTGAGTTCTTCTTTCCGCAGGCAGGTAAACAACTTCTAACTGATAGTCAGCTCGAGTTTTGCCTCTGAAGGTTTGTGCATTGATGTCATTTTCTGCCACAATTGTCACTCCGTAGAGTTCCCAGAAGACAGCGTTTTCCAGCTGTCAGTAACAACTTGATCTCCCAGATGGTCACAAATATACAGATGTCGTCAACAATATCTATCGTGAGCTTGTCTCGCCTCCTTCACTTGTGGTTGGGTTATGTTTTTGGCACGTTATAATCAGGTAGTTTAACATTTACGAAAAGATACGGTGTTGAGAAAGGAGTTGCTATGAAAGGGTGTCAGATAGGGCAAAAATACTCTTTAACTTCTATTGTTCACAGAGATACCAGTTTAAAGTGTATCTAGATGTGTTTTTGATGGGTCAGCCAAGGCTTTTCCCAGCAGTGAGTTTTCACGGTCTCATCAAATTATCGTTATTAGAAGGGATTGTCTGAAAGCCAGCAAGCCTTTGTGTTGCTTATTGGTGGGGAAGTCTCATCAGAAAACCTGTGCACGGCTCCAAAAACTAGTGAAGGGATAATGTTATTTGTGTATGTGTTTTGAAGTAAAATAAAAAAAAATAAATATCTGTATTTGTGGCTGCTCCTTGAGTCTTAAGAGCTCCTACGTGAAAATGGCATTGACAGATCATGGGGCTTTTGAGATGAAAACAAAACGTGGGTGCGCTCCGCAAGGATGTAACTCGGAACCAATTTCGAATCGTTCCCTTCTGCTTTTTAATTCCTGGAATTGTTGATTGCAGGCTCGAATCAACGCCAGGCTGCAGCAGTACCGAGCCAAGGCGGAGCTGGCCCGCACCACCCGCCCGCAGGCCTGGGTGCCCAGGGAGAAGCTGCCGCGGCCCCTCACCAGCAGCGCCTCGGCCATCCGCAAGCTGATGCGCAAAGCCGAGCTCATGGGAATCAGCACGGACATTTTCCCGGTGGATACTTCAGATACGAGCTCCAGTGTCGACGGAAGAAGAAAACATAAGCAACCAGCGCTCACCGCCGATTTTGTCAACTATTACCTCGGTGAGGATGAAAGCCGTGTGTCTTTTTCAGAACTTCACTGTATTTGGACTGTGGTAGTTCATTGGCTTTTATTTTACTTGGGTTTCCTGGTGGATAACAGATAAATATGAATTTTGACTTCATTTTATGCCAGGTATGTTATTGCTTGGTATCTCTACACACTTAGGAAGTTACTTTTTTTAAAAGAAGAAAATCTTTCCAGTATAAAGGGAAGGTTAAACTGTCTTGGCTAAGAAGTGAGTTGAAGCTTAGCTACCTTTTGGTATCTTTTTTTTTTTTTCCCCCTTACATTTCCTCCTTTTTTGTCTGGAATAGCGTGACTTTGGGACTGTTTACTAGATGGCTGATTAGAGCTCTCCATTTAAATAACTACACTCTTGATGCAGGAAAATGTAAATGTTATGACTTTTCTTTCTACTCAGTCTTTGTAATAAATCTAGAGGCTGAGGATTTCTGGTTTTGCATTTTTTTATGCTTTTCATTGCTTCACCTTTTTTTTTAAGTCTGTAAGGCTCAAAAATGTATTGAAGGATAGGAAATAATGCATTTTTCTTTTAACCAGAGAGAAATATGCGCATGATTCAGATCCAGGAAAATATGGCTGAGCAGAAGAATATCAAGGATAAATTAGAAAATGAGCAAGAAAAGCTTCATGTGGAGTATAATAAGGTGAAGAAAAAGGGGTAATAAACTGTTGTACTGTGTTAGTATTGCTGCTGTTAACTTTGACGGCATTTTGCTTTCCAAATGCTTTTTTTTAGAAAGATACAAAACTATTCTTTCTTTGCAAATAATATTTTAAAATATATTAATTTCAAAGTATCCTGGATTTTTGCTCCCATACAAGTAGAATTAACTTCTAAAATGCCCCGTGGTGACTAGGTACAAGTTCTTTAACTGATGTCACTGGCAGCAACAAATTACATATGAGCAAACAGGTCCCTCTCATGAATGAACTATGTCCTAAGGCTTTTTTCAGTCTTTGTACACGTTTCATTTGGGACTTTGAGACAACCGTTTGACTCCTCTCTCCCTCTGGTTTTATTTTATTTTACTTGTGTGTAATTGTAGGTTCTTTTGGAAGCCGCTTGGTTCTCTGCTTACAACCTTACTTGATAATTGGGAATATAGGATTGTAGGAGTGTTGTTTAGTTATGTCAGCCCCAGTTATGTTCATCCTAGACTTAATGATTTGCCTAATTTTTCAGTATATACTGAAATAATAAGTATTCACACATCCAGTGTCCTCTACGTGTTTTGTTTAAGAAATTTGGGGCCTAAAAATGATGCCTTTGTGGCCCCCAGATGTTGCTAATGTGATTCTTTTATTAACTCATCATCATGGTTAAAAAAAGCATTTTGTGTTTTAAATACATTTTTACTAAATAATAATATATTTATTTTAATCTTTAAATATTTTGGAACGAAACATAGAAATACTGTACCTTTTTGTGAGAGGTGACACGCTGCAATTTCTGAGGAATTCCGCAACCCATAAAGCGATGGTTAGTGGTGACAAACAAATGTTGGCTTTAAATTCTTAAACTCGTGGTGTGTTTTAAATGGGAACATGCAGAAATGAAGCAGCAGGTCCTTGCGAACTGCTGAGACATGATAAAGGAGAAGGAGATTTTGCGTTGGACCTCTAATGAAATTAATGGGTTTATACACTGGGAGGTAACTAACAGTTACTTCTGGAAGAAAAAACCCCTTTTTTCTGCTTGCATCCTTTAATAAATTATGTCTCTTTCTATGAGAGTGAGTGATTCAGTGTTCTCTGGTATAGCAGTATAGAGCTTTAATTCATTTATATGGTTCCTTGTTACAATCTTACTGCTTAAGTGGTATGGACAGCGCAAACAAGATGTTGCTGTATTTTAGTTTTACTTTCTGATTGATTTTATGAAACCTTATCTTCATGCTGAGATACTACAAAACAGGTGGCTGCCCGGGTTTTCGCGTTAATTCTGTTAAATTGCTGGATGAATGGTTGCACTGGTCTCGGCTATATTGACATGAGTTCCGTTGTGGGGTTTATTTTTAATTCCACGATAAAATAATGTACCCTGGATAGGTAAGAAGTTGAATAAATTCTAAGAAATAACTGGATTTTCATTCCTGTTGATCTTTAACTTCTCAGCTGTGTGAGTCCTTGGAAGAGCTACAAAACATGAATGGAAAGCTGCGGAACGAGGGGCAAGGCATTTGGGCTCTGCTGGGTCGAATCATTGGACAGGTTGGTTGCGGTATTTTTTCCTCTCTCTGAAGTTCATAGACAGGCCTGATTTTCCAAGAATAGACCTTTTTGTTTCTGTCTGTCACTTCTATGGCCGAATAAATTGATGTTTCCTCCTTGAAACACCTAGACTTGTGCGAGCCACCTACTGGGAAGCTGTAGATTAATTTTGTTGTTGTAATAGTGATCTTGTTTGCAAAATTCTTTCATTTGGTGTAACTGATTGACCTGTCATTTGTGATGAACCTTAATGGGAAGCATGAGTTAATCCTGCCACTTCTGCTTCTGTATTGTCTTCAGTTACTTTGGGCCTTAAACGAGGGGGTAACTCTATGGCTTTTTTAAGATTTAAATCTTTAAAACTGCAGTATGTAGATGATGAGTTTTAACTGGACAAAGCAGAGTATTTTGGTCAAATGAGAATAAATATCTAGGGGAAGAGATTTTGATTATTTTCTGTTGCCAGCAATTATCTTTGTTCTCATTGATACAGGGAAAAGTGTAGATTCTTTTAGTGTTTTGATATATGTCAAAGGTGTTAAATGGCAATGGACATTTTAGGTGTTGGAGAGAGATTGAAATTACTTCCAATTATGATTTTAAGGAAGATTGAAGAAACTGGTTTTTAGCGAAAATGCAGGCACACAGTTAGGTCACAGTTTTGTCATACCCTTTGGTACTGCTGACTTTGTGCTGCTCTTCAGAAAATGAATCTTGCCCTTTCTTTATGCAGTAGTAGTTAATAAAGTCTGTTAGCTTTTTCAATTTCTATTTGTCTGCCTGTCATTTCTACTTGTGAAGAAGCATTCTCATATAACATACCTCTAGAATCAAGATTATTTTTACCTCTCCTTTTTAAGATGGCTTTAAGTATTCGCAAATTTATTTCCTCAGGCAAGTTTTTCTAAATGGGGAAAAAAAAAAAAAGTTAAGTAGAATTCATTTACACAGCTTGCATGACATTTTTTTTTTCCAGTTGGTTGAACAGATGCAGACCCACGGGGCTGCTGAGAAATGACTTTGATAGATGGTTGCTGTCTGAGAAGCTAGCGTACTGCAGATTAGGAGAAACCCGAAGAGAATCTCATCTGCTTTGTGGAGGGCTTGGTCCAATAAGATAATTTTTCTAATTAACCTATCGCGCACCAATGTAGCGGAGATGCTGGAGAAAATAAACTGCCTTGGTATTCTGTCAATTTTGTGGATTTGCTTTTGCTTGTTTTAGCTGCCTAGACAAATGCATCTTTGTCCATCCCTCTATTAGTAGCTCGAAGAAAAATTTTAAAGGCTGATATTGCGATGTGCAGTTTGTTTGTTGAATTAAATAATGAGTATATTGCTTTATATTACAAAATCATACCAGGATAAACACCTGTGGTTGCTGTTGTCTCTAAAATAGCTCACGAAGCGGTTTCCCTCTCATAATTTGTGTCTTCTTTGTCGTGCATTGAGACTGTGATGGGAGTCTTTCGAAGTGTCAAGACTCACATGTACTGTGTTTGTTCAAATCCAATAGAAATTGAACATACCGGCAATCTTACGGGCTCCTAAGGAAAGGAAACCAAGTAAAAAGGAAGGAGGAACACAAAAGACATCTACGCTTCCCGCTGTACTTTATAGGCAAGTAATGAAGTCTTAATAGAATAGATAAAATACTGAGCTACAGTTTCACAGAAGCATTAGAAAAAATTGTTTGCTTCAGTTCCGGTTAAAAAACCACTCCATTGTTGCCTCTACATTTTGCCTCTGAAGGCTAAGTTGAATAGTAGCACACATCAGTAAGGTTTGGGATTTTTCTGCTGATTTGGCAGCAGTGCTCTTTACAGCTGAAATAGAGGGGTCCTTTGTCTCTGTGATGTGAAAATTTCTGATTGGTCCTCTGTGCTGATGATTTTCCAAACAGTGCTGCTGGTTACAGTGGCTGGGTGCATAAAACACTTACCTGAGAATTTTTACCTTTTGAGATATCTGGCGTTTTAAATCTCCCTACTTCAATTTCTATTAATTCCCAAGAAAATAAAATGTATTCCCAAATAAAATGTATTCCCTTATTCTTTTTTCTGCCTTGTCCTCTCTTCTATAAATTGTGAAGCTACTGGCTAGATTTTGACTAAGCCTAGCAGTGGAGGATATAGTAGGATCCCAGAGCATGACTGTGCAAAATACAGTCAAGCCAGCCAGCAGGCCAAGTGAAGAAGCTGGATTACATAAGCAAAAGTTAATTCTAGGTCTGTGAGGGGTGTGATCCTGGAGAACATGGCAGAGGACTGCGGATTTAGCAATTTAGAAGTATATATAAACAAATAATAGGAGTCATGCTTTACTAGTTCTGTCTCATTCAAATCCAGTCATTTAGTTCCTCCCATTTTATAACTGAGTCGATGAACACCTGATCTTTTTGAAATAACCAAAATTTCAATTCCAGTAAAATAATAATAGTAATAATAAGGAAGTGTAATTTCTTAGGAGCTGATGCATTGCCCAACATAACGGCAGCCCAGACCCATTTTGGCGTGCTTGCATTATTAAAATAAGCATATGATTGTTAGAAAATTATGTTGCTATTACCAGTCCTATTTAAGTATTTGGATGACACAGGTAGTATTTTTTCTATTTGCCAGTGGTACAATTTGTTGAAGTATCAAGTGATTACTCACTCGTTAGAAGTCCTCAGCAAATCAGATTGAAAGCATTCTGTTGTTATCTGTGTTCGGTGCCTTTTATGCTTTCCTGTATAGAGATAGAAGCTCCTTAGAAAGTAATTATGCACGTAAACGATGCATTCAAATTGAAGTTGCCACATGTTTGTATTGAAACTGGGGAATGTGCTGGGATTTATCGCTTATTCCTCATGATTCCAAATGTAATTCTAATGCTTTTCTGCTACCTGCATTAAAAGTTGTGGCATTTGCAAGAAGAACCACGATCAGCACCTGCTGCTGCTGTGTGATACGTGTAAACTCCATTATCACCTTGGGTGCCTGGATCCACCTCTTACGAGGATGCCAAGGAAGACCAAGAACAGTTACTGGTAAGAGCCCTGTTGAGGTGTTGTCTTGTGCTGTCTGGTTACTTCAGGTAGGACATAAACATGAACAGACTTGCAAATTCCCATAATGCGATCTAAACTATTTTTCTTTTCAGGTTATTAGCAGTGACATTGCAAGGTTAAAACAAAAATAAAGTTCTAAAGAGTTTTCTCGTTGTTAGGTCATGTGTAGAAATAGATCTTTGTTTTAATTTGCCTAGATTTTGAGTTCATTTGTGATTATTACAGCTGCTATATAATAATGGTAGGAAGCTGCAGGCCACCTTCAGGAAATGAAAGATTTGGTCTTCTGTTTATCTTAACTCCCAGATACGCAGCTCTGACCAGATCTTTAGGAAAATGCTAATACTTAAAAAAATAATACTTAAAAACTTAAGTATTAGATCCATTTATTGCAATATGGAAAATCAGTCGGGTTTACTTATGACTCAAATCTGTCATGGCAGAAACATGCATAACTGTACTTACTGCAGTTACCTTTCAGTAAATTAAAATTATTTTTGTGCCAGGGGAACAGAACAAAAGCTAAGTTGTGCGACGGAGAACTGATAACGTGGTAAAAGTGCAGGTTTCCAAATTGTCATAAAATCAGTGTGCGCTGCTGCCTTGTGGTAGTGTTCTGCGTGTTTTTGAACTGTTCTGAGATGTGTTAGAAGCAGTTATTCAGAATAGGTTTTAATCTGGCATGAAGCTGGTGTACCCCAGCTCCAGGAACCGTCACCACCTTGTCTCAACATCAAGGTACCAAATCAGAGTGGTACAAGAATTCCTTCTAAAATGTAGTACAGCCATGTGAATTGAGACAACTTGGTTTCTGTTTTATTTTGTTTATCTCCTAATTTATATCTTTGATCTTTTTTTAAAAAACATGCATAAACATTTACATAACTCATCTTTTTGGGTAGTTATGATGATCGTGTGTAGAGCACGATGGTCGGTACATGAAATGGGCGACGTCTTTTTTTTTTTTTTTATCTTTATATCTTAAAATGACAAAACCTGGATTTAGCCCAGTAAATTTATTCCTAAATTAATAGAGAATTCCTGTAAAAGCTGAAAAGCTCAGAAAGGTGTTCACCATCACTAAGGTTTTTCTGATCTTAATTTTCCTTTTATTATTTAATGTAGTCCGAGATTTTGAACTTTTCAATATTTCAAGGGCATTGGTCAAATTTACCAAGTAGTTATGCTACATGGAAGCATTTTATCTTAATATTTTGGTAGCTCCTGCATTTGCACGGGAGGTTCTTGATTTTTCCATTCTGCTTTTTAACCAAATTGAAAAGGCTCGCTTAAAAAGCATCGCTCCGAAAGATATGAAGCTACAATTCTCAGTAGGTGTTAAGGCAGAAGAGCTCAGGTCAGGTAGGGAAATGCTTTTATTTCAAAGCTGTAATTTATCTTTGTTGTGAATTCGTGCTTCAGTTTTATTTCAGATCAGAAACTTCGCTTTTCCTTCTAATTAGCTAAGACTTGTGAGATGCTGGCAGACAACTGCAGCTGTGCTGATTGCGTTCTTTTCATCACTGAACATGCCTCGATGGATTCTGTTCAGAATCAGCAGAGAGCGTGTAGAATCGACCCTTAATCTGAGTTTGAGTT